GGAGTAGGACCAGGGTTTTTCTCTATATCTGAACTCAGTTGAAATTTACAATAGTTTGATACGTGTCTGACTCTTACAAAGACACATGGGTCTTTTATAAAAAACATTGATAAATATCGACCTGCTCTATACTTCAATTTAATTATCCTTCGATATACCCTCACAGAACAATTCAACAAATACTTCTTCTCATGTTGTGTAACTTTATATAATCTTATCCTCTTCGTATAAAGCTTACAAACATTCTTTGTAACTCTTCTAACATTAACGTAAGGACGTAACCAAGAGGAATTCGGTATGCTTGGACGAATACGCTCATAAACAAATCCCTTCAGTTTTCTGCCCTTTCTTCTGAGACGTTTCAGAGCAGCATCTTGCATTGTACTGGGTTCTCAATCACGTCTAAGTACACGGTTGTGTTTACAGGTAAACATAATATGAGATAGCTCGTTTGATATAGCAGGTTTCGCTTGATATTTCTCGATAGAAGGTTCACTCGTAAATTGATCTCTCGTAAAGTTCGCGGAGCGACCCGTTCCCAAAACGCTCCACAATTTTTAGTGTGGGTCTATTGATAACGATGTGTGACTTTCTATGTATAATGAGCGTGATAGCCATCGAACTTCTTTCGCGTACATCAGTCCACGAAGGTAACCACTGCTTTACCATGCGCTCAAGAGATCATTCTATGCATGCGCATACACCTCACGCAGACAAAGCCGAATTTATACCTCGGGCGTTTCCTTTGGAAAGCCCGAGTAAACGACAGGAACCATTCTTGTCGGTGGTACGCGATTTGCATAAATGTAATGTAACGCTCGAAAGCATGATCTTCCTACCGAATCCTATCGAACAAAGAAAACAGATTGATAAGTTTATTTTAAGTGCCCTTATCTTGACAAGCGGAGAGAGTTTCTTGTCATTCCTGCGAAACTAAGTGAAAGCATATTAACGAAAACCGCCAAAGTTTGGCAAACGGTAAATTTGGCATTGGTAGTATCTAAGTAAATGGATACCGTGGTCTTTCAGAGGGACTGAAGACCTAGAAAAACTAGCATGCAACTCTCGGCTTTCAGTTTCATTGCATTTAAGACCTCCTGATAAGGCAAGGAAAAGGGAAAAATGTCCACAGAAATCGTTTGGCCGTTTGAACGCTTTGCATCTAAGGTCAAGTAGAGAGTGTAATTATTCTTCAAAAATTTGATTTGAGACCCAACTGGCTCTTAGTCTAAGATCGTGTGACCTCGATTAGTCAATCGGAACTTAATACTAGCAGCATTCTCGTAATGTAAATATTCGATACGAGCAATTCTGCTTCTTGCTGTAACCCTTTGGCCACATGAACAGAAGATCGAAAGCTAACAGTGGAAGGACATTTACTTAATCAAATCGTTCTTCTTATTGAGAATACCTGAGTCGCACCGCTTGCGTAAAACCGTGCTTTGGGTTAGACTTCTCGTAAACAACCGGCCCAAAGTGTAGGCGTTCTATATCGGGTCATGAAAGTTCCTCTTAAGCACAAAGGAAAAGCTGATCAACAATATCTGAGCAACTGTACATGTTCAAAAGAGAAGGCAGAGAGGTATAAGGTCGTATCGTGTAGACAACTGGGACATGATTATCAGACCTGCTCAACTCTACCCATAGAAGGCTGTGAAAAGTCGTATTCTCACTTATTATGTTTAACATCGATACGAAATAGTTTCATATTGAGTTTTAGGCAAAACCATTGCCCTTTTGTGTTTTTGAGAATCGAAAATAATAATTAAAATCCATTGATCATGACTTCTCACCATAGAAGATGCTGTTTAGCTTCTTCAAAAGGGATAGGTTCCTCAAGTTTACCAATCGCTGGGGAACACTTCTAATAAAAGTTACACTTTTAAAATTGAAAGATAATCGTGGACAATCGAGATATTAATATGAAATGCTCAATATAAGACACAAAGAGGCATATAAGCTATATATGGCTGAAAGGACGATACTAGTGTGTATCGGCCATGAAACTTACCATTTCTTGGTGGGTTCTCGTCAGTCACATGCATGTATAACAGCACAAGGGAATTCATTCGTACTCAGATATGTTCGATCTACAAAAGAATCAATGTAGCATAGTCTTCTACATTCGCGTGACTTTTACGAAACCAAGAATAGCTCATTAACAACGACAATCACTCAATGACACGTGTTACTTGATCAATATACGTACTGTGTTTTGAATCTGATTAGTTGATAAAGAAAAGCGAGTTTGTAAAAGTTCATGCCTCGATGGATATCAACATATACATCTCAGATACTGGTTAGTCGCTGCAACCAACTAAGTTACGAGGCCACATGTTGGAAGCAAAGCGACAGTTCTGTAGGATTCCTTTTATTCCGCGTAAATAATTCTGACACAAATGGGAAATGTGACTGAAATAGTTCTGAAATACTTGTTAACATCCACTAGTCAAAACGTGCCTCATTTCATATTTACTACTTGTACAAATGTATACACTGGTCAGATCGAAACGTCAGTCGCTTTCAACGACCGTTGTTCTTTTCAGAAGAAAGAAACTCTGGTGTTCAAAATCTAGTTTGTGTTTCGGGGCTGGACGGTCTTTTAAAAGTAAGACATAGTAGGTTAATCGTCCTACTCACGCCTTGTGCAGAGCGGAAAACCTTGCCCTTGTCAATGTTTTAAAAACTCGGGCTTTTTTTCTGTATTCCTGTTATTGTTTCTGTGCACAAGTTCGCAGATTCTGTTGAAAAACACCGGTACTTTTGCATTTTTGTCGCTCGAGCTAATAAATTCCAAAATAGACTCCCCTTCAGTTAGATTCTCCATTATGGTGGAGACTTACAATCACCTGTCCAACTGACCTGTGAAACCATACTCGGGAACTTCTTCAAGACCTGGACTATAGCTTATACATACCGCCATTTAGTGATCAAGCCCTACCATGACTGCTGCTCCTAAAGTGGCGCGGCGGGTTGACATTTATTTGCTGTCTTCTTTGCCTCGCCTGCCGCCGCTTATCCCTCAGTACGAAAACGCTTGAACATAAGCTAAACAAAGATATGGCCATACGGATTTTTACCCGTCGTCTCCACAAATTGTACTTAATAATGTCTGATTTTCACATGATTTTCCACAAGATCGGTCATGTCAGATTCATTCAGTGAACAACAAAAATAATATAGTCTTAGCAATAGCTATGATTCAGTTTCACTTCAAGCTGTAAATAGGCAATTTCCGAGTAAATTCAAGGATCTGAAATTTAAAGAATACATCTTACGTGTGAAGTCTGTGCTGTAATTCTTTAAAATATATCGGAAATTAGATAGATGGTGTATGTTTAATCGTGCTCATACGAAAGGGAATACATTGTCGTTGTTACTACAAATAATCACATAAAATAAATTTGCGTCTAGATCGTTGTAAGCGACTATCTACATCAACAATGGCATTACGATTTATCTCAGTGCGCTTGGCAGTATACGCTAAGCTGAAATGACACCGAACGGTATGAATGTAAATGTATTAGTACTCAGTCATGTGAAACTAACAACAGACACATTCAATTCAATTCAACACGAATCTATCTATTAATGTTTTTTACCTGGAAAGAAGAGCTGTTGCTGTTCAAAGTTTTTGCTCTGTGCTCCTAAAAAACAAAAAACCTTTCCCATCATGACGAGAAAGGATATGTAACGTTGTGTTTTCAGACCTTGTAAACCACTGAAGGATTCTCTTTCACGGCATCTTGATCACCTTCGCCGATTCAAACAAATGAACTTTCTTTTGCTAATTTATGAGAAACCAGTATGGCACCTGTGAATAATAAACAGTGAAGCAAGATGTTACAAAACATGAAAGACTGGAGACTAAAACATTGATTTTCAAATAGAGCTACGTCATGTTTTTTTGTTTTTTTAGCTAATGTTAGTGACAGAATAACAAAAGTTTAAAATACTCGTTTCCAAGGGTAGAAAAAAGACCAAGGATGCGATTTGAAGACAAAAAAGGGAACAAAAATGTTTGAAGATGGTTAGGAAAGGGTCGGAAAAAAGTGTGGTGAACTGGGAAATTTTATGCTCACATTGTTTTCCCAAATAGACACAAAATGACATCAGTCTTCTAAAACAGCCATAAATGTGCTTATACAAGTTTCCTTGGTACAACACGAAATGCTAATTATTACTGCCACGGGCGACTAATTCTAACTACCACAATTTTGAACACGGCGAAACGAAACGCCACGACAAGGCGAAATAACACGGTTAAACTTGCAAATAAAGCTGCGAACGAAACCCTATTACAATATGAACTAAACTAAATACACAAGGAAAGCTACAGCGAAAACAACGATGAAAACTACATAATACAAAACTTACATTTGTTGCGATGTTGTTAATCCTGCCTAGTGGCGAACGAGCTGTACGAAATGAACAAAACTACACCGGAAAAAACTGCACAAACTACGATGACAATATGGTTTAAATACATGCTACGTTACGTTACGTTACGTTACGTTACGTAATGACACAAAGAAAGCGCGCACAAAATTTTACTACAATTAGCACTCTTGCACAAGAACAATAAAAAATAATTCGTTAGAGTGGGTGAAAGAAGTGACGAGGTTGGCGGAGTTTGCAAGATCTCAGCCACAAGCTTGATACGCCGCATTCACATTTGGGCTTCGACACCGGTGGGCGTACTTTGTTAAGGTTCTACTGCAGCCTTTAGAGTGTGCAATCTCGGATGTGCTTATACCGTCGCTCACAGAACGTAACTGTTCTGAGGAAGAACGTAGTCTGGTAGCATTACCGGTGCGTATGGGAGGCCTTGGGCTCATTAATCCATCTGATACTGTGGATGCGGAGTATTCAGTGTCTGTTAGGGTGACCCCTCGACTTTTAAACAAAATAGAGGCGCAATCCCACGAGACTCCAGAAGAGGCCGAGGTACAACGACTGGTATACGTCACCCGGAAAGAAGAGGATGATAGACTAAAAGAAGAGCTCAAAGAGGTGAAGGCCTTATTACCAGACAAGACACAGAGAGCCGTAGGCCTGGCCTGTGAAAAAGGCGCATCCAACTGGCTTAGTTATTCCTCTCAAAGACATGGATTTTGATTTTAACAAGTGGGAATTTCGGGACGCTGTGAGGCTTCGATATGATTGGCCAATACCCGATAATCCATCGGTATACGTTTTTGGGAGCTTGTTTACAATGGATCTCACGATAATCTGCCAGCGTGGAGGCTTAGTAATTAAGCGTCACAATGAAATACGCGATCTACAGGCCAAGCTTCTCGACATAGTTTGTTACGACGTGCAGGTGGGATCGGCTATACAACCTATTACAAGCGAAGAACTTCCCAGAGGGACTAATGAAGCCCCTGACACACGCCTGGACGTCCATTGTAGGGGTTTCTGGGAGCGACAGAGGGCTGCTTTTTTCGATATAAGTGTGTGTCATCCCAATGCAGACTCAAACAGAGATCTTAGCCACAAGCAGATTTAAAGGATTCATGAAAATGAAAAGAACCGAAAATACAACTCCCGTGCAACAGAGGTAGAGGGAGGCACTTTCACCCCACTGGTGTTTACAACGACGGGGGGGATGGCTGACGAATGCCTGAGGTACCACTCAAGATTAGCCGAGCTATATTATTACCTGCCAAAAAGCAAGAGAGCTACGCCACAACAATTTCATGGGTCTGAGCGAAAGTGTCCTTTGCAATTTTGCGGAGCGCCCTCCTATGTCTAAGGGGATCTACAACCCCAAAAAGGAGGAACTTAGACATTAAAGACAGGGATCCGGAAGTAGAGAAAGGTCGAGCGAGACTTCCTTAACTCATCAGTTATAGATTATTTTTATTATTTTTATTGTAAATTGTTCTTATTATTCTTCTGCGTTGAACCTTTGAAGACTTTGCATTTCCTTTGTCAAGAGACTTAAAGTAACATATAGAATACCTAAACAGCACATTTTAATTTCATTATTCATAGCCATATAATTATGTAGTTTAGGTTAGTGATATTTTTCCTTAAAAGGAGAGTTGTTTTTTCAAGATTTTATTTTTACTCTTTATGCGCTTTCAGGTTAGATTCCGGGTTGTATGAAGTTACTCAATAAAGGTTATTTCTCCCTCATTCGTTAGCGATCTACGCTAATCGAAGATTGATTCCAAACACATGTATCTCAAATTACAACGCACTCAATGAGCTGCGAGCGATTTTCATTTATCCTTACTTCATGTAACGTGGTTAAAAATCACCGGACACTAATCACAGAAAAACCCCTGTCTGCGTCTATATTTGTCAACTAGTGCGTCATAAATAAATTTACCATAAGCAGTTTCGAGATTGTTTTCGTCCTAACCCTGGAAGCAATGCAAACAGTTTCTAGCTTTGAACGAACAAAATGGAACATTTAAAACTAATTGCACTTTTCATGGAGTAGTTTGTATGTTCGGATGAGATTTGTTTTAAAGAGAACTGCAGTCGGTGACAGTGAGTGACGTTTTGACAACCTAAGCATAAGTATCTCACCGATGTTGCGTTGCTTTCTGTGGCTACTGCCTCCTATGGGAGGCAATAAGCTTCTTCAGTCCCGCGATCTCGACCAAAATTTTCTCTCAATCCCGTAATCCCAAAGGTTTATACTGGCCAATCCCAATCCCGGTGATAAATTATTTTCCTTCGGTCTCAAAAGGGCGTTTTCGGTGGCTGATAATTTTTTCGACCAGCTTTGGTCTAATAAATGTCTTTATTCACGGTAAAGCGTAACTTCATGATATCGTTAATTTTAGAAGTTGTCCTCTTTCGCTGCATTTCCAACGTTTCTTGTGTAACCTACCACTTATGTGGTGCACAAATCAGATATTCTTCGTGTCTAGTGTCAGACGACCTAACAGGTTAATCGTGTTTGTGGGGAGAAGGGAAACGCGATGCCCCCAAAAAACAACTGCATGGGAGGCAAGGCATTTTTGTAATTTCGCGTAGATAAATTCCTGTATAAATTCTCGTAGGCAAACTTTTTGGTTCTCGGAGAGCGCGTGGTATGGTCTGGACATGACTTCATTTTGACTTCCGGTGTTAGCGTTGCCGTTTTCCCTACAAGTTTAGGACGTCATGATCATTTCGTTGGTTTTCCTGTCGTGATCAGAACGCCTGGGATTTACGTAAATATTGCACTCGTAAACGAGATAATACTGTTGGGATGTATTTCAAAACTCATTAACTAGATTATTAAGTCCCTTTCTTTGTTTAATTCAGTGTATTTTTGAAATAAATGTCTCGAAAGCAACCCCTTAAAATCACCGATTCCCGTGTCCCTTACATACTAGCAATTTCGCATCTCGTTCCGTTCTTACCCTTAATTCCCGGATCCCGGCCCTCAAATAAGTCCAATCCCGGATCCCAAAAAACCTATTAGGGAGCCTCTGAAGCCGCATATCTTTTGCAATGAGTGAGTGGGTGATCGAGTGAGTGTAATAATAGAATTTCGATCTTGACCCAATTTTGACCCGATGTTACTCACTTTTTGTTTTTTCGGAGTATCTCAGTAGCTCGACATTCACACTCGATATAAAGTTGACTTCTTTCCTTTGTGATTTCTGGCTTATAGCCACCAGCACATAAATTTTTCAGTTTTTGTCATGAAATTAAGGAAGGCAGAAGAAGACGATAAGCATCTCACAATCACTTCGGGATTGCGCGCGATTTTTAAAAACAAAAGTCTTGCTTGCAGAAATATTTCAGTAGGTTAGATCGGTGCATCATGAAGCTTCAAGGAGAATTCTTTTTCTTTAACGACAGAGCTTTTCGCGGTTTAAATCTGTAGCGAATTATGTAGATCCGAAGGAATAATCTTTCCAGTTTTTGCCATGACAGGTCGTGACACTACAAGGACTTTTCGTGACACTATGGAAGGAAGCAGAAAGCGATAAACATTTTATAATCATTACAGGATTGTGCGCGATTTAAGACAGAAAGTTTCCTTGCAGAAATATCTTAATAGGTGTGATCATAAAACTTGATGAATTTATTTTTTTTCTTTGAAGGGAGAGCAGTTAACAGTTTTAATCACCAAAATTATGTACCGGAAACTGCCTCCAAACATTGATAATCTATCAAGCCACTGTCACACGTAAGGAAAACAGCACTAGTGAAATGTTGTGATTTGTACAATGTCGTCAAGAAATACGAGAACGCGTTATTAAGATTGGAATGTTTCAAGACGTGTCGCCTAATGTGTCCTACAAACGAAGTAGTTTCACATTACCACGAGCGAAAAAATTGTTAGGAGTCAAGACCACTGATCTTCAGTCATCAATAATTTTTGCAAGCGAGAGAGTTTATTGTTCCAATCAAATCAGTTTACGACACAAAATGGCACCTCCGACGGGACAGGTTTTTTTTTAACCAGCGAGAGCGCTCGAGCAAGAGCAACGAACCAAAGAAATTGTAATCATGAAGAAGGAGATGACAGAATTGGACAACGAAATCAAGTTACTCAAGCTGAAGAACACTAAAACAGAAGAAATCATCCTCAAACGAGACCAACAAGCTTTGGAGCGACTTCGGTCATAAATATCAGGTATTGTGAGTGCGGTGGATGAGTTAAAGTTAACAATCGAGGAGGGAAAAATCAGCAAAGGCGAGAACGAGGAAGAAATCGCACTCTGGGGGTAAAGGAATTGAAGACGACCTTGAGATAGCCGATAACACGACAAAAAGAGTTCAAGACGCGATAAAAGCCGTAGACCTAGAAGAGCAGGAGCGAGAAGCGATAGAAAAACACAAGAGGAACATGGAGTTTCAACGGCAACAACTGGAGCAAAGAGCAGAATTCGAGAAAACACGCGAAGACGAAAAAGCACCCGCACTTGAATCCGGACAACACAACCCATTTGTAGCGGCGAAACTACCGAAGTTATCGATCACCAAGTTCAGTGGTAGAGCTGAAGATTGGCCACCCTTCTGGGGAAAATTCAAGTCCGAAATAGACTCCTCAAGCCTTACGAAGCTTACTTAAATTTGGGTACTTGAAGGAGCTCCTCGAAAAGCACGTGAGGAATGATATTGAGGGATTGCCTTTCGCAGATGAGGGATACGACAGCGCTATAGCAATTCTTGAAGCAGAATATGGACAACAGGCAGATATCGTAAATGCGTATGTGAAAAACATAATGGAACTTCCGGTTATCACAGGAGCAAATCCAAAGAAAGTGTAGGAATTCTAAAAGCAACTTCGCTACAATGTTTAAAGATTGGATACGCTTGAACGGCTCGGGGATGTTAGAGGGAATGTGTGGTCTACTTTAGAAGAACTGAGAGAGGTGAAACCTGGTGCGTGGGAATGAAGGCTGGAGGGACTAGGATTTTAAGGATCTCTTGAGGGAACTCATAAAAATGGTCAGACATCAATCCTGTCGAGGAAAGCACGGCAGAAAAGATCCCGAGTAAAGGAGTTTCACACTCAAAACAAGCAATGCCCACGCGTGTATTCAAAATCCACTCACAACAAGAAACGCGAACCGGAAACCAGCAATGTGTTTACTGTGAAGTCATCGATCAGTCAATTGCACAAAGGTCACCGAGACGGGGGAGAGGCGCAGAATACTCGCGGAGAAAAGTGTGCGCTTGAACTGCACCGGCGGAAACCATCGCGCGGATGAATGTAAGAGTAGATTGCGATGCCAGAAATGTAGTGGGAAACATCACACGTCAATTTGTAACGCCCGCGAAAATGAGTTCAATCCTCTCCTTTTCGCCGCTGGAATGCCAAACGCGCGCGTGACATATCCTGTTGTTGTTGTAGAGGTAGAATGTGTGAAATGTCGAGCACTGTTGGGTACGGGCGCGGTAGGTTCTTACGCATCTGCAGCGCTGTTAAACCGTATCCCCACGAGAAAGCGTGCCAAGGAGGTCAGGAAAATAGAGATGCTGTTAGGGACGTCAACCCGAGAAGTGGAACTGCTTGCAATAGAGACTGGGGGCGTAAGTGGAAAATTCACGATGCCTGCAGAAGTCATGAAAATGGACAAAGGGGAACTACTTTTCCTTGGCAATCCTAATTATGAAGAAATCCTTGCCAAAAACCCACATCTGTCGGGAGTCGTTATGACCGATCAAGACAAGAAGAGTCGACTCCCAGTGCATCTTATTCTCGGTGCCAGAGAATACGCAAAATTGAAGACCGAGAGTGCACCGAAAGTCGGCGAACCTGGTGAGCCTGTTGCTGAGCTGACGAAATTCGGCTGGATCATCATGTCGCGAGGAAAAGAACCTCTGAACATAACAAACATGTCATTGGCGCAGACATCACATGTAGATTATGAAGCACTTTGCCGCTCGGATGTGCTTGGCCTCTCAGACACACCCACGAATGATCAAGGAAATGTTTACTCTGAATTCCAAAAGCAACTTATTCGGGATGAGGCATGGTGGTACGAAACTGGTCTTCCCTGGCGAGGAGATCATCCAGTTCTGCTGAACAACACAGAAGGAAGCCTGCGACAACTCTAAAGTTTACACAGAAGGCTCGAACCCCAGAACCTGACAACTATATATGAAGAGATCATTGAAGAACAAAAGGAGGCAGGCGTGGTGGAGAAAGTATAGGGGACTAGTGTTGCTGGTCGAGAATTCTACATATCGCACAAACCGGTTTCTCGAGCCACCGCAGAGTCAAAAAAATTGCGAATAGTCTACGACGCATCTGCAAGGGCTTTCGATGGTGCCCCTTCTCTGAATGATTGTTTGCATGCAGGCCCGCCCCTTCAAAACAAATTTTGGAGTGTTCTAGTCAGAGGACGTTTTAACCCCGTGGCCGTTACTGGCGATCTCCAGAAGGCATTTCTTGAAGTAATAATATGAGAAGCTGACCTTGATGCAATGCATTTCCACTGGAGTCGAGACGAGCACTCACCTTTAACGGCTTTGCGATTCACAAGAGCACTTTTTGGACTCACCTCATCTCCCTTTCTTCTTGGGGGAGTTATTGAGGCACACCTTTGCAATTGGGAGGAAAAGAGCCGGAAGTAGTGAAAAAGATTCGCAAAGAGCTTTACGTCGACGATTTGATCTCGGGATCAATCACAGTGTGCAAGGCCAGAGAAGTCAAAGACAAAGCAACGGTATCTTTCAAAATGCATGCTTTACACTGTTCAAATGGCACTCCAATGCGCCTGAACTAGAGGCAGCTCAGTCCTCAGCGGAGGATATAGAAGAAGTGACTTATGCGAAGCAACAGTTAGGCTCACCACAAGGAACCATGTCAAGCATTCTCGGTCTACCATGGAACAAGGAGCGGGACACAGTTAGCGTAGAAGTCCCATCTGAAGAAGTGAAGTTGACGAAACGAGGAATCTTAGCTAAACTAGCAAAAATCTGTGATCCCCTGGGACTCATCTCACCAGAGACACCTCGTGGTAAGCTCATCTATCGAGCTGTTTGTGATTCAAAGATAGCTTGCGATGCAGAACTATCACGTGACATAGCGAAGTCCTGGGTGAAGTGGGGGAGCGGTTTGCCACAAAGCTTTGTAGTACAGAGATCGCTTACCGTTCATCGTGAGGAGATTGAGAGCATTGAGCTACATTTCTTTGGAGATGCCAGCACAAAGGGAGTTGCAGCCTGCGTTTAGGCTGTCGTTCGTCAGGCGTCCCGAAAAAATAAAGGCCTAATTGCTGCAAGGTCAAAATTCTCCAAGCAATGCCTGACTATCCCGTGGCTCGAATTCGTAGCAGGTCATATGGCCGTGAATTTGATAACCAATGTCAGAGAGGCTCTTGAAGGGTTACCTTTAACAAGCATGCACTGTTGGCTGGACAGCTTGGTAGCCTTGTATTGGATTAGGGGGCACGGAGAGCACAAGCAGTTTGTTTCGAACAGTGTCCAGAAGATCAACATTCATCATGGAGTCACGTGGCGTTATGTTCCCTCCACAGAGAACCCAGCCGATCTCGCAAATCGCGGAGGCCGTCTAGAGGAAGCAGATCAGTGGTGGAACGGGCCAAAGTGGCTTGCAAACCCAGGAAATTGGCCGGCGGATATCCCCGATCAACCGACTGAAGAGAGCCAAGCCGAAGCTAAACTAGTTCGGAAAGTGCTGTCAGTGGCAGATCACGAAGAAGATGAGATCGAGAATGTATTACGCAAGTTTTATTTACAGAAGGCCGTACGTGTGTGTGCATGGATGCGAAGATTCGCGCACAACACTCTCCACTACCGAGGTAAGACGCGCATAGAAGGACCGCTGACAACCCAGGAAACAAACCAACTGAGACTTCATTGGGAGAGGCAGGCTCAGAATAGTGTTGATTTTGAAAAGGATCGAGTAGCCTTGAACTTACAGTTAAATAAGGAAGGTCTACTTTAGTGTCGGGGCCGATTGCCAGGAGACTACTCAGTGTATTTACCAGAAAGCAGTCTATATTCTCAGCGAATCGTGGAAGAAGCCCACCTTAAAATCTTGCATGGGGAAGTGGGGCTGACGATGACCAAAGTCCCAAGCCAGTACAGTATCCCTAAGCTGGGGAAGCTGGTGAAGAAAGTTCGCCGAAATTGCCATGGATGCAAAAGATTTCAGGCGATGGCATACGCTGCTCCACCACCCGGATGCCTTCCAACCACCCGTACCGAAGGTGTTAACACATTTCAAGTGGTGGGGTCGACTACGCTGGTCCATTGCGATATCGCATATCGAGACAACGACAAGGAAAGGCGTACGTTTTTTTATAGGCATGCAGCCTTACGAGGGGGGGTCTACCGGGACCTCTTGCCAAGTTTGGAAACAGAAGAGTGCTTGAGAAGTTTGAAGAAGTTCAACGGGAGGCGAGGGAGACTAAAGCGAATCTATTCCGAGAATGGGAGAACATTCGTTGGTGCTGCTAAGTGGGTCCGGACTGTGATGAGAGATGAGCGACTCCAGAATTACTTGTCGGCCCATCAGATCAAGTGGCAGTTTAACCTAAGCCGCGCCCCATGGTGGAGCGGTCAGTTTGAGAGAATCATAGGTCTAGTGAAGTCAGCTCTACACAAGTCGATAGGAAATGGGATGTTGAGCTGGAAATCGTTACAAGAGGTGTTATCAGACGTGGAGACCATACTTAATAACCGACAGTTAAGTTATCTTGAAGATGATCCTCAGTTACCTGTCCTGACGCCAAGCTCTATGCTGTTCGTGAATAGCAATGTGCTGCCAGAGTTGCAATCCAACCGTGTTGAAAGGGCTGACCTTCGCAAACGAGCCAAGCACTTGCTTAAGTACAAGGAAGCTGTGTGGTGACGTTGGTCAAAAGAGTACCTACGCAGCCTTCGCGAGAGGCACCGTGCCAAAGTAACCGTTCAGGGAAATGCACCTGCTGTCGGTGACGTTGTGATAGTACAAACGGAAGAAAGGAACAGAGGCAAATGGCCCCTGGGAATAGTCGAGGACCTTATAGTTAATATTAAACTGCAATTGCCTTAACTTACAGTTATCTTGATTGCAACTCTGTCTGATCATTCCTTTGGAAAGAGTGACCATTTGTTGATACATCTAACTGTCAGTGAGGCTCTTTATCATTATATATGCGTTATTAGCCAAGCGTGATGTCAAGATGGCTGGATGTTGGCCGAGTTATTATGATTATTTTTTTGTCATTTTTCTGCGAAAAAAAAAAACGAGACTAATATCTAGCCTTCTTGACGGAACAACTTGAAGCTTGGTTAAAAAATGATTTATTATACTGCAAAAAGATATCGCTTTAATAAGAATCAAGAGCGACTTGTTTACTTTGCGACCCTGGAAAGAAAGCAAACTGTGTTTGTAGCACAACAAATTCGTAAGTGTCGTTGACACTTGCAGTGTTTCTGTTTTCTTTGTTTTGACTATCTTCTGCCACTTTTTTCGTTTCTATAGCCGAAGTTGCCCGAGAACTACGAATGTAGTTCTAAGGAAATTTTTTCATGCGCAGGATCAATGCGTGCAATCCCGAGCCGGCAAGATGGGTCTATCTTGCCCACTCGGGTAACCAATCAGAACACAGGATTCCCTTTATCTTTCCTACGGGCGCTGCGAGCGATGTAATAAATGATCCATAGAACATATACCGTCTTGGACAAACCGTTCGAAACACAC